GAGAAATACAAATTAAAATGAGAATCTTCTGCACATCTTAGAATGGCTAACATTTAAAAGATTGACCAGGCCAGGTGTAGTGGCTCACACTTGTAATCTGAGCAGTTTGGGAGGCTTAGGAAGGAGGATTGCTGGAGCGTAAGAGTTCGAGACCAGTCTGGGCAACAGAGTGAGAGCCCACCTCTAAAAAAAAAAAAAAAAAAAAATTGTTTCATTAGCCAGGCACAGTGGTGGGTGTCTGTAGTCCCAGCTACTTGGGAAGCTGAGGTGGGAGGATCATTTGAACCTGGAAGGTTGAGGCTGCAGTGAGCTATGATTGTGCCACTGCCCTCCAGCCTGGGTGACAGAGTGAGACCCCATCTCAAGAAAAACCCAAAAACAAAACAATTTCCTACCTTTCTCCCTTTTCCCTCCCTTCTTCCTTTCTTCTTTATAATAGAGATGGGGGTTTCACTGTGTTGCCCAGGACTAGTCTTGAACTCTTGAACTCAAGCAATCCCCATGCCTCAGCCTCCCAAAGTGTGGGGATTACAGGTGAGCTACCATATCCAGCCCTAACAATTTCTTAAAAACTTTTAAACATATACCTACCGTATGATCCAGCCATTTCAGTTCTACTTACCCAAGAGAAACTATAAGTCCATATAAACGCTTATACACAAATGTTCATATAAGCTGTATTAATTTTCTATCACCATAAACAAATTATCACAAAGTTAGCAGGTCAAAACAGCTTACGTGATTGTTGACAGAATTCAATTTCTTGAGTTTGCAGGACCAAGGTCCCTATTTTCTTGTTGACTGTCAGCCAATGGCTCCTCTCAGCTCCTGCAGTTGCCAGCAATTCCTGTCAGGGGCCTTCCCACATGACAGCTTACTTCTTCAAAGCTAGCAGGAGAATCCTTCTCTAGTTTGCTTAAGATGGAGTCTAATATGACATAATGTAATGACAGCAGTGCCATCGCATCACCTTTGCTATGTTCTATTGACCAGAAGACACAGCTTCTATTTATACTCAAGGATTATATAAGGGTTTGACTCATTGTCAATCATCTTAGAATGGATTTGCCATAGCAACTTTTATATTTGTAGTAGTCTCAAACTGGAAATAACACAAATGTCCACCAACAGGTGAATGTATAACCCAGTTGTGGTATATCCATACAGTGGAATACTACTCAGCAATAAAAATGAAATGATATATACAAAAGATAAAGAAATCTCAAAATAATTATGCTGAGTGAAATCAGCCATACAAAACAAGCATTTACATTTCATTTGTATAAAACTAGAAATTGACAGTGACAGAAAGCAAACCAGTGATTGATAGGGGATGAAAACTAAGGGCAGAAAATAGGAGCAGGAGAGACGTATCATCATGAAGCAGGGGAAATTTTTGGGGTGATGGATATGTTCCCAATATTGATAGTAGCAAGATTACATAGATGTATCACCTACAAAAGTTTACATTGTGTACTTTAAAGAGTTCAACTTCTTCTCTGTCAATCATTCCTCAATAAAGCTGTTTTTAAAAACCTACTGCCAGCCAGGCATGGTGGCTCATGCCTATAATCTCAGCACTTTGGGAGGCTGAGGCAGGCGGATCACGAGGTCAAGAGATCAAGACCATCCTGGCCAACACGGTGAAACCCCATCTCTAGTAAAAATACAAAAAAATTAGCTGGGCATGGTGGCACGTGCCTGTGGTCCCAGCTACTCAGGAGGCTGAGGCGGAAGAATCGCTTGAACCAGGGAGGCGGAGGTTGCAGTGAGCTGAGATTGAGTGAGCCGAGATTGCGCCACTGCACTCCAGCCTGGGTGACAGAGCAAGACTCCGTCTCAAAAAAAAAAAAAAAAAAAAAAAAACAACCTAGTGCCGTCTTCCAGAATCAACTCTCTCAAGTTACTTATGCTTGTTATTAAAGGTTCCTTTTTTGTTACTTTTGAATTCACTTATTTGATAAAAATTTCCAAGTTTATTTTTTAACAGTAAACTCAAACACAGTGAAACAGGAGCTTATGTTTGAGGCACCGTGGCAGCTGTTGGAATGTGGTCCTATATTATCGAATATTGTTAGGATGGAGTCTGTCTGGGTGGCTTCTGCTTTGATGGTTTAATGGGAGAGGCAAATGGGCAAACAGACAATTCCAATAAAACTGCAGACACATGCACATACGCTATGGTGCCCACAGAGTGACAGCCAGAGAGCCAGAGAGCGACCCAGCCTGGTTGGGGTATGTGGAGTGCAGAGAAAACTCTGGAAGTGATGCCTGAGTTGAGTTTTAGGGGCTGAACAGGCGTTAGCCAAGGGAAGAGGGGAAAAGGAATCCTAGGTAGAGGAAATGGCACAAGCAAAGGCAGGGAAGCAGGAGAATGCTGTTCTGTGTGGGGGAAGTACAGGTTCAGTAATATGAGGCACCATGCTGTGGTCTGAATGTTTGTATCCCCCCAAATTCACATATTGACATCCTAACCCCCAAGGGAATTGTATCTGGAGGTACCATTCCTCCAGTATGGCCTTTGGGAAATTATTTGGTCATGGGAGTGAAGCCCTCATAAATAGGATCTGTGAGGTCTAAGAGAGACCCCTCACCTCTTCTGCCCTGTGAAGTTATAGTGAAAAGATGGCCATCTATGGAAAGGAAGCAGCCTCTCACCAGATACCAAATCTACTGGCACCTTGATCTTGGATCTCCAAGTTTCCAGAACTGTTAAGAAATACATTTCTACTGTTTGTAAACCATCTAATTTGATACTTTTTTGTAGCAGCCCAAATGGACTAAGACATACAAGGTGGGGAGCTGCAGAAAGAGTGGGTGAGGGCTGACTCATGAAGGGTATTATGATTTGGACATTATCTATTAGGCAGAGTTTCTTTGAAGGATTTTAGGAAGGTGAGTGATGTCATCAAAGAAAAGTATAATATCATCTATCAATTAAAAGGGCTTCGTAATACAGAGTGACGGCAAGGACAGGGAGGAGAACAGGGACTTAACATATATAAAAGGAAATACTGCAAGTCCTAGTGATTAACTGGCCATAGTGAAAGAGAGAAGTCTACAATGCCCCCGAAGTTTTTAATCTTGAGATTGTTCCATTAACTGAAAGCAGGAACAAGAGGCAGAGGGAGCTCTTATGGGGGTGGGAAGAGGAGGAGGAAATGAGCTTAGGTTGGGGCATGTTGCATTTCAGGTGCATAGGAGACATGGAAGGGAAGAAGTCTTTTAAAACAGATGGAAAAAAGAGAATGAGAACAAGAGCAGGTGGTAAAACTCTGATAGTGGCAAGACTGTCCAAGAAAAGTGTATAAAAAAGAGCAGTAGGCTGGATCCCAAAAGAACCTTTCACCAAGGGCTAGGGGTAGAAAGGAGGTCCCTGTTGGAGATTCACAGTAAATGGCCAGCGATATTGTGAAGGTAATTAAATAAATCCCCTGTTCTACTGACTAATGTCTTTACTCCAAAAACTTCTGGACTTCCCATCTCCCCTCAGCACCCTGCTTCCATCCTCAGGTCTCACGGCTGCAACAAAAGAAAGCAACCAGTGTAGCTTCCCTGTCTTAAAAGAAAGAGATCAGATTGAATAGAAAATAGAATATGTGGTAGCTGATATCAAGGAAATATATTTGGCTGACTGTCATGGTCCTTTGGGTTTAATTTCTTGGTGACTGCTGTTTATCTGTTGATAGCCTACGTATTTGTCCTCCTAGAATGACAGAAGGTCAAAGGCCTGGCTTCTGTTGGTGGGATCATCGGTAAAAGGCATCTTTCAACTATATCTTATGGTTTCACTGAGGCATGGGATGGGCCTCTCAGAACAGTTCCTATCCTTGGGTGTAAAAAGAACTCTCCTCATTGTTATCAAGCCATGAGTTGGCTCATGGCTATACTTTGGCATGGCGAAAGGAGGGGGAAGTCTGGCTGTCAGAATGTTGTGGTTCTGGTTACAGGGGGATAGCAAAAGTTAGGCACAATAGTCAGTTGGGGCCCTACTGTCTGAGGTAGGCTTGGAAATATTTAGCTAGCCGGGAAAGTGCCAAGGGACTAGATACATGTAGCAGGGCTTTCTTTTTTCTGTGGGAACTAAAATCAGTTTCCCTAGAAATGAGAGAGAGACCTATTTGACAACTATACCCAAGGGCAGACATACAGATGTGTGTGGCATTTTTGAGGAGATGTATGTGTGTAGGTATGTAGGCCTCAGAATAGGTCTCTTTGAAGCCATGAAGCCATGGCAATAAACATTTCCAAGTAAGAAGATGATCAATAATATCAAACATGAGTTTTGGCCATAAGAAAATCACTGGTGATCCCTGCAAATTTTAGTGGAGTAGAACGAGTGGAAGATAGACTTCGTTGTGCAGTAGATGCAAATGTGAAATGAATGAAAGAAATAAAGAGAGAGAATGATAGGCTACTATCAATAAATCTGACTGAGAAACATAAGTGAATAATGGTGAGGTAAGCAGAGATGGAGGGCCAAAGGCAGAGGCATAGTTTAGAATAGGAGATACCCAAGCATACGTACAGATTGAGACAACATGGCAAAAGGAGACAGAGAAAATAAAGTTAGAGTATGAGGAGATAGAGGGTCAAGGTTGAAGAGAAAATGGGATGTACTCTGAGATAAAACAGAAGAGGAACATTTGTAAATAGTGACATCTTATTCCTTGAATATGGAGAAAACAAGACAAGAAACCAGGCAGATGTAGTTCCATGTATAGATCCCTCTTCTTGGGTTCATGTCCAGCCCCTGAAGCTCTTAACTGCTCCCCTCCTATCCCAGCCTCTTTCCAATCCATTTCCTGCCTGCAAGACACTGTGGGAGTGTAACCCCATTGATTAGCATATAGCAATGAACACCCCTAACTTGGGTACTTAGTTCTAAAGAAGCAGCACTGAAAAAAGCCAAAGCAACATCTTTACTGATTTCTACTTATATTTCAAATTTGTACTTGCAGTGAGAGGATGAGAACTTGAAAAAAATGGAATCCAAGTTCTGAGAGTCTTCCAAAATTGCTCCACAACGCTGGGCTGTGGTGGAGGCTGTTTATTTTTTAAATCTTGTGCTGCTTAATCTTCTAAAGTATTTGTATTGAGAGTGTTGGTCCAGGAGATCAGATCTTCCACTTCCTCTTCCCTGGGCTCGTCTGTGTCATTTTCATATTGTGAAGCATATAATGAATAGTCATTCTTCCACTCCTCCTCCTCCATTTCATAAATGTCTCTGATGCTATTTATTGCAGTTGGTGACTCAAGAAAAATTTCATCTGTGGTGGGAATTATGAAAAATAGAAATTTATTAGTTATAACAGGAAAAACAATGAAAAGAGGAGCTCCTGCATTTGGAGGATAATGCCAAAGACCATCTGAATGAATGTGAGCAACCTTTTTTAAACTTTCTAAACTTCATGTTTTATAAGTAACTTTATTTGTCATAAATCATTCTTTCCATCTTGTTCAATCTTTTTATGCTTTGTTAGTCCAGTCTTTAACATATATTTACTGAGTCCCTGCTAAGGGCCAGTTGATGTGCAAGGGAAAAGCTGCTTTGGGAGCCCAGGGAGGGAATCACTATGTCTAAGTGAAAACAGACTCAGACTTTGAAACATGGGGAGCAGTTTGCTAGACAGAGAAGGAGGTCAGAAAGCATTAGATAGAAGAAACAGCACACATCATATAAGCACAAAGGTATGAGAGGACTTGACAGGGTTGGGGTGATTACAGTGGATGCCCCCGTACTTCCACTGTGCCAGGTGCAATGCTAAGCAGTCAACAGGTATGCTATTATTTAACTCAGACACAACCCTCATGATGGGCAGGTATTATTATTATTTTACAGCTGAGGAAACTGAGGCTGAGCAACCTATAGTAGCTTGATCAAAGATATCCAGCTAGTAACAAGACTCATCCTAGATTTGTCTATCCAAAAACACAATGTTATAGTACACAAAAAGTTTTGTTGAGCTGGAAGGGAGGCTGAGGCCAGATCAGGAAAGTTTCATGTGTCATGCAAAGGACTTTCATCTTTATCTTATAGGCCATAAAAACATGAAAATAAACTGATGATACGTTCCAAAAGAAGAATATAGATCTAATGCCTACGTTTCTAGATCTATATTTCCACACAGCATGGGGATCTTGCTTTCTGGGGATGAACTCTAGCTGGCACTATTTGTGTTCTGTTAACTCTAAAAGATCACTGCATTCTCTTCCCTTTTTCCTGGTTGCCTCCAGGTTCACTGACTATTATGGGTTGCAGGACAAATTCTGTTTGCCTTCTATGTTTATTTCCCTCACTTACATACGAAATGAACCCTGTAATATTTGTTGCCTTCTTACATTATAGACTTGGGCTACAAGTGACTTTTTTTTTTTTTCTGTCTTTGGTTTATAGAAAGATACATAGAGAGGCCAGGCATGGTGGCTTACACCTGTAATCCCAGCATTTTCGGAGGCCAAGGCAGGTGGATCATTTGAGGTCACGGATTCGAGACCAGCCTGGCCAACATGGTGAACCCCTGTCTCTACTGAAAATACAAAAATTAGCCACGTGTGGTGGCAGGAGCCTGTAATCTCAGCTGCTCTGGAGGCTGAGCCAGGAGAATCGCTTGAACCCAGGAGGCGGAGGTTGCAGTGAACTGAGATCAAGCCACTGTACTCCAGCCTGGGTGACAGAGTGAGACTCCATTTCAAAACAAAACAAAAAGGAGAGAAAGATACACAGAGAGATTTGAGTTTACACAGTTGCCATTATCCTATGGGTATCCTGAAGCCTCCAGTGATTTTTAATTTTTGTACTTTTGATACTAATATTTAGTTGTAATTAGTTGAAGACTAAATTCTGTCTGTGCCTTGACAAAAGCATCTACTTTATTTTCCATGAACATATTACTGATGGACGAACTCCAGCTCTTTCTAACCATGTCTGGGCCTTTCTGACTCCACATGCTTTTGATTACAAGAAATATAAAGCCAAGTCAACCCAGTTTAAACAATAAGAGAATGTTTTATTTCACATAAGAGAAAAGCCGGAGTGGAGGGCTGGATTGACTGTTGCAGTGACTCCACAATGTCACAGAGGACATAGTTCTTTTCACTGCATGCCTGTCTAAGGTGTTGTCTTCATCTTCAGGTGCACAGCAAGAGAGCTATGGCCATTCTAGTAACCACACCAGACACAGCAAAATCCAGAGGAAAAAGTGGCCTTCTTGCCAAACCTGACAAAAACAAGCAATGGGGAAAGGGTTCCCTATTTAATAAACGGTGTTGGGAAAACTGGCTAGCTGTATGCAGAAAGCTAAAACTGGATCCCTTCCTTACACCTTACACAAATATTAACTCCAGATAGATTAAAGATTTAAATATAAGACCTAACACCATAAAAACCCTAGAAGAAAACCTAGGCAACGCCATTCAGGACATAGGCATGGGCAAGGACTTCATCAAAACATCAAAAGCATTGGCAACAAAAGCCAAAATAGACAAATGGGATCTAATTAAACTCAAGAGCTTCTGCACAGCAAAAGAAACTATATTAGAGTGAAGTGGCAACCAACAGAATGGGAAAAATTTTTGCGATCTACCCATCTGACAAAGGGCTAATATCCAGAATCTACAAAGAACTTAAAAAAACGTGTAAGAAAAAAGCAATCCATCAAAAAATGGGCAAAGGGTATGAACAGACACTTCTCAAAAGAATACATTTATTCAGCCAACAAGCATATGAAAAAAAACTCATCATCACTGGTCATTAGAGAAATGCAAATCAAAACCTTATTGAGATACTACCTCATGCCAGTCAGAATGGCAATCATTAAAAAATTAGGAGACAACAGATGCTGGAGAGGATGTGGAGAAATAGGAACACTTTTACACTATTGGTGGGAGTGTAAATTAATTCAACCATTGTGGAAGACAGTGTGGTGATCCCTCAAGGATCTAGAACTAGAAATACCATTTGACCCAGCAATCCCATTACTGGGTATATACCCAAAGGATTATAAAACATTTAATTATAAAGACTTATGTTTATTGCAGCACTGTTTACAATAGCAAAGACTTGGAACCAACCCAAATGCCCATCAATGATAGACTAGATAAAGAAAATGTGTCACATATATACCATAGAATACTATGCAGCCATAAAGAGGATGAGTTCATGTCCTTGGCAGGGACATGGCTGAAACTGGAAACCGTCATTCTCAGCAAACTTACACAAGAACAGAAAACAAAACACCAAATGTTCTCATTTATAAGTGGGTGTTGAACAATGAGAACACATGGACACAGGGAAGGGAACATCACACACCGGGGCTTGTCAGGGGGTGGAGGGTTAGGGGAAGGATAGCAGGGGGTGGTAGGATTGGGGAGGGATAACATTAGGAGTAATATCTAATGTGGATGACAGGGGGATGGATGCAGCAAACCACCATGGCACATGTATAGCCATGTAACAAACTTGCATGATCTACACATGTACCCCAGAACTTAAAGTATAATAAAAATAAATAAATAAAATTTTTAAAAGGTCTGGTTTTTAAGAGTGGATGTGGGAAAACCATCCCCTGAAGTACCCAGCCATCCCCTGAAGTACCCAGCATGTTTCACCTCAGGCAGAATCCTGTCACATTCCATTTCTTTTATTTTTCTTTTCTTTTTTTTGAAGCAGGGTTTCACTCCTGTCACCCCGGCTAGAGTACAGTGCCAAGCTCTCAGCTCACTGCAACCTCCACCTCCCAGGATCAAGCAATCCCCCCACTTCAGCCTCCCAAGCAACTGGGACTACAGGCATGCACCACCATGCCCAGCTAATTTTTGTGTTTTTAGTAGGGACAGAGTTTTACCATGTTGGCCAGGCTGGTCTTGAACTCCTGATCTCAGGTGACCAGCCCACACTGGCCTCCCAAAGTGTTGGGATTACAAGTGTGAGCCGCTGTGCCCAGCCCCATTTCTAAACTAGTTACTGGGGAGGGAAATGGGATCACTGTGATTGGCCGACATCAGTTGCTGCCGTGAATGAATGCTGGGAACCACCTTGACTATTTGCCCTCTTAATTCCTGTCCTGTTAAAAACTCCCAGGAGGCAAAAAAAGAAACCTGGCTAGATTAGCAGAGTATAATGCAAAACAAATATCGAAATATTTCTTTACAACATAAAAAATATTATATTGAATTTTTCTCCTCCAGGAAATCTTAAGCATTATAAATCCCTCTGAGACACCTTGGATTTGGTGGTTAGAATCAGTAATAAAGATGGGGATTTTGTTACTTTATTAACAAAATAAGTATGAAAGTACAAATTCTAACTGCCTTATATTTTGCATACCTTTCTCGGGTTGGATCATGGAAACTCTGCCTCTGATAATTTATTTTTTAATCTGAAAATAGTTTAGCTAATAAGGTACTAAAATCTGTGCTGACTGATGGGTTCTGATGGTTGCCAAATGGGTTATTTCTATTCAGTTCTGTTTTCAGTCTGGGTTCAGTTACAAAAACAGAGCCACTACAAGTAATGCAAGAGTGAGAGTCTAACACAGGAATTCAGGATCATCCAGGTATGGGAAGACCCAGGGGAGTGAAGATCTGGAAGCTACAGCTAGAGAATTGAAAAAACAGTCGTGACCCACTTTAACCTGAGGCACTGACATGAGTGAGAAACAAGGAGCTCAAGGAGTACAAGGAGCTGCACACATTTAGCCACCCAAAGTGTGAAAAGAACAATGAGTTCATGGAGATATCTGTGCAGCCACTATGTCTGTGAAGTGAGACTGTGGAGAGACATGTGAAAATACCATGTGAGGAACCCGCCATGCTTGATGTGAACAGCTTCCCAAGCATAATGGCTTCACTTCCCTCCCACCTGCTAAATCTCTGGTGAGTTTCTCCCATTGGGAAACTATGACATGTGATCCTTCTCTCCAAGAGGAACACACAGTTATTTCCTTTTCTGAGTCATACTTTCCTTGGATATCCTATATAAGTTCACTCTTGCTGCATAGTAACTCTCTTGCTATATGATAAACGACCACAAAAGCTTAGTGACATCAGCAATATAGTATTTGTTTTGGTCACATGTCAGCAGGCAATAGTGGTTGGCTTCTTTGGCTGGGGAATGGCTGGGAAACTTGGCTGGACAAGCTCAGATCTATGCCTTGAATCTTTCTCTGTGATCAGAGGGCCAGTCCAGGCAGGCTCTTGTGATGATGGCAGAAGAGAAAAAGAGCAAGCCAAATCATGCGCATCCTTTCCAAACCCTGGGGGCACATTACACCCACTAATATTCCATTGATGAAAACAGGGAAAAGCTCAAAGTCAAAGGGCAAGGAAATATATTTTGTTCATGTAGGTGGAGCAGGAATGAATATTTCTGAACAATAATCAAATTTACCACAACCTCTCAGGTATATTCTCTTCCAGAGTAGACATAAAGAAGAGTCTATTGCATGATCAAAGAGAACAAGGCTCAGCACTGGAGAGCTAACCAGTTTCTGGACATTAAACTTCAAATGTTATCTTTTCCAGCTTGCCTTTTTCCCAGTCATCATGGGTTTTCACCTTTTTTCTCCCCCAAAACCACAAGGCAGATAAAAACATGACAATTCGACTTCATCCTACTATTTATTTATTCATTTTTTCATAAGCATTGATAGCTACTGTATGTAAGCACTGTGCTATGGAAAATCAGGAGGTGAGCAGTCCCTTCCCTCAAGAACCTCACTCTTTTTCAAAGGAGACTGGCAATAAAAAGAATGACAACCAGCATGTGTGCTGGACAGACTCCAAGGTAGCCCCCAGAATCCCTGCAGCCTGGTATTTACACCTTAATGTAAACTCCTCCTTTCTGAGTGTGGATGGAACCCATGACTTCTAACCAATAAAATATGACGCAAGTGATGAGGTCTCACTCCCATGATTGTGTTACATCATATACGACTCCATCTTGCTATCAGACTTGCTTTAAAGATTCTTCCTGTTGGCTGGATAAAGCAGGAGGCCTTGCTGCAGGGAGAGCGCACATGGCAAGGAACTGTGTGCAGCCTTCAGCAGCTGTGGGAAGCCTCCAGCATATACCCAGCCAGAAGCCAGGGTGTCCATTCCTAAAGACAGAAGAAAATGAATTCTGTGGGCAACCTCACTGGGCTGGGAAGCAGATTCTTCCCCCATTCAAACCACTAGGATGAGAATGCAGCCCAATTGATGCCTTGATTGCGGCTTTCTGAGACCTTAAGCAGAGGATCTAGCTAAGCCGTGCCTGTACTCCAGGCCCACAGAAACAGTGAAACAATAAATGTGTGTTGTTTTAAAGCATTCAGCATGTGCTAATTTGTGACACAGCAATAGCAAACAAATAGAGCATGACATGGCTATGGTAGAAGTGCCATGATGACCCACAGAGAAAGTTTCCTAGAGAAGGAAATACCTGAACTGAATCTCAAAGGATGCACAGGTATTAGAAAGGAAAGAAGGGGAGGGAAGAGCATTTAGAGTAGGGGTATGAGAAAACACAGTGTACTGCTCAAAACTGTTTTTGTGAAATGAGGTTGGGAACAATCATGACCCAATAGATTAGTGTAGCATTTAGGGTGTGAGGGGGAGAGTGGTAGGGAATGTCACTGCAGAGACAGAGACAAGTATTAGAGCATTAAGGACTTTCCATGTCAAAGAGTCTAAATGTCATCCTGAAGGACATGGGAAACGATGAAAGGATTTTAGACCTGGCAAAAACATAAGCAAAGCTGAGCTATACACACATAGCTTTGTCACCAGTCTGACAAAGCATAGACAGAAATTACTGTGATCACATCAACTGAACCAAATGATCTCTTCCACTGGTGAAGATGGTAGGGATGTGGAAAGAGATTGCAGAGAGGAGTAGGGAAATCATGGAGAAAACAGAGAGTAAGGCTGGAGAAGGCAACATTACCTACCTTGCAGGTACCCTGAAATTTGGAAGAAGACAGAGCCGAATGGAGAAGGCTGAGGCTGATAATACAGAGGAGTGAATCTGAGTGGCACACCAAAACAAGTAGGAGGGAGAGAGGTCGATACTGAGCAGGGAAAAGAAACTTGGAGGTACGGGGGCAGGGCCCTTGGAAAATCACTGAAAGAAGATGATTGCCAGTGCCTGGCATTTATATGCTGTTATGTTTAGTGGCCAGGTGACAGGAAAAAACAGTAACTATTATTTTATAGTACTTTTCAGTTTACAAAGAAATTGTATGTACATGAAGTCATTTAGTCACAAGAATCCTATGAGTGAGGGTGGAATATTAGCGACTAGGATTTGTTGAATATCTTCCATGTACACAGTACTAGCTGAGGATAAAAAAACTAAGTTCAAGGGTTGAGTGACCTTTCCATAATAGCACAGAACTGGAATCTGAACCTAAGTTCTCTAACCCCAAATGTTGTGCTTTCCCCTCTATACTAGCTGACTTCCATGATAAGTTACCAGCTCTCTCTTCCTGCTGAAGACTTACTCGCAACCTATCCCAACAAGTAAATTATAATTTTTAAAGGAGCACACAAACCAACTCAGCACTGTTTCTTTCTTTTCAGCCATATTGCATATGTCTTTGAACATACAATGAGTTTTAGGGATCAGTGTATTCATGCTCTGTATGTTTTGGCTGCTTTTTCATATTTTGAAATTTAGCCTTAAAATTTCAAATTGTATATCGACCTAATAAGGGTAGTAAGCTTGGAAATGTAAGTAACTCAATTTTTTCAAAGTTCCAATTCCTATGTGAATAATTTACCAAATTAATTTGGAAAGCCAGAAAAAGTTAAAGCAACGTTAAAAGGAGAACACAAGAACTAGCCCTCATATATTTGAACTTATTTAAACTGAAAAAAAGCTTAAAGCTATGCATATTATTCACCATATGTTAATTACAAGAGCAAAACAAATAGGGTGAATCAATTTACCTAGAATTGGGCAGAGCTTAATTCCTTCCACAAAGTGACTGACTTCTTGAGGCATTCTATTTTTTCTAGCAAGCTGACACTTGATAACAGCATACCTAGACAGAGAAAAAGAAAAATTAAATTTCCAAATGAATTTTTGGTAAGGGTATATTACTTCTGAGAAAAATATGTGAAACAAATGAAATGAAACATAAAAGTAGGACAATAGGCTTTGAATATGGAACCATTCTGAGTGTTGACTAGTTTAATGGTAAAGTAAAATGATTTCAATATGTGCTTTCCAACAGAATAGTAGTTGGAAAAGCAAATTATGACGTAAGATTACTATTGTAAAAGTAATAAAAACATCATGTGGTATAGCAAGGTATATTAGTTTCCTTGGGCCACCTTAACAAATAACCACAAACTTGGTGACTTAAAATAACAGAAATTTATTCTCTCATAGTTTTGGAGGCTAGACATCAAGGATCAAGGTGGCAGCAGGTCCTCCCTTCCTCCCTCGGAAATCCCTAGGGAAGAATCTTCTGTTGCTTCTTCCTAGCTTCTGCCAGCTCTCAGCAATCCTTTACGTTCCATGGCTTACAGCTGCATCACTCCAATCTCTGCCTCCAATGTCACATGACCTCTCTTTCCTGTGTGTGTCTCTGCAGTTCTGCTCCTCTTCTAAGGACAACAGTCATTGGACTTAGGGCCCACCTTCATCCAGGACAGCCTCATCTTAACTACTTACTATCTACATCTGCAGGGGCCGGGCACGGTGGCTCATGCCTGTAATTCCAGCACTTTGAGAGGCCGAGGCAGGCGGATCACAAGATTAGGAGTTCAAGACCAGCCTGATTAACATGGTGAAACCCTGACTCTACTAAAAATACAAAAATTAGCTGGGCATGGTGGTGAATGCCTGTTATCTCAGCTACTTGGGAGGCTGAGGCAGGAGAATTGCTCGAACCCGGGAGGCGGAGGTTGCAGTGAGCTGAGATTATGCCACCATCTATACTCCAGCCCAAGCAATAGAGTGAGACCCTGTTTAAAAAACAAAACAAAACAAAAAAAAACTTTATATCTGCAAAGACCCTATTTTGAAATAAGGTCATATGCTGAGGTTCTCAGGGGATAGGTGTTTTTGGGGCACATGATTCAACCCACTACACAAGGGAGAAATTCCATCAGAAAAATTCATGACTCATCCTGGATAAAACAACAGACATATTATGGGAGGCATCAATGAGCCAAAGTCAGGCTATCAGAGAATTTCCTTGCAGAAGCAGTGTGTATATGGGAGAAAAATTTTCCAAAATTTTTTTTGGGGACAACTACTTTTTGGGAATATATGATGAAAAGAAAACTTTTGGTAATAAAGTTTTCATGAGGAAAAGTAAGTGGCATAGAAATGTTTTTGTCACACAAGTGTACCTCACTTATACAATACTCCCAGAAAGTTCATTCATTTAATAAATATTCATTGAATACCAACCTTGTGCCAAACACTATTATAGGAAGAACAAGACAGACAATGTCTCTGATCTCATGGAAAAAAGACAAAAATGAACAAGTATAAAAATCAAGATAAATCAGCAGTGATACATGCTATAATGAAAATAAAGTCTCCAATAAAATGTTGTGTGACAGTAGTGAGAGCAGACATCCTTGCCCTGACATTCGGGGCAAACATTCAGTTTTTTACCATTATATATGATGTTGGCTATCGTTTTTCATAAATAAGTTTTATCAGGTTGAGGACGCTCTTTCCTATTCTTAATTAACTGAGTCTTTTTTTCAATGTATGAAAATTTCCTTGATCTTTTATTTCAGTCTTTCCCATTTTAGAGAGATTTTTATTTTCATTTTACATGAAAAGTTTTATTGAGGTGAAAGTCACATAACATGTAATTCACCTTTTTTATCTTCAACTTTTCTTTTAAGTTCAGGGTGCCTGCATAGGATGTGCAGGTTTGTTACATAGGTAAACGTGTGTCATGGTGATTTGCTGCATAGATCATCCCATAACCTGAATACTAAGCCCAGCATCCATTAGCTATTCTTCCTGATGCTATCCCCGCCCCACACACACACCCCTCTCACCAACAGGCCTCAGTGTGCATTGTTCCTCATCATGTGTCCATGAGTTCTCATCATTTAGCTCCCACTTAAAAGTGAGAACATAAGGAGTTTGTTTTTCTGTTCCTGCGTTAGTTTGCTGAGGATAATGGCTTCTGACTCCATCTATGGCCCTGCAAAGGACGTGATCTCATTCCTTTTTGTGGCTGTACAGTATTCCATAGCATATATGTGCATTTTCTTTATGCAGTCTATCACTGATGAGTATTTGGGTTGATTCCATGTATTTGCCATTGTGAATAGTGCTACATTGAACACAGGTGTGTGTGTGTCCTTATAATAAAATGATTTATATTTTTGGGGTATATGCCCAGGATTTGAATAGCTGAGTCAAATAGTATTTCTGCCTGTAGGTCTTTGAGGAATCACCACACTGTCTTCCACAATGGCCGAACTAATTTATGCACCCACCAACAGTGTAAAAGCGTTCTTTCTGTGCAACCTCACCTGCATCTGTTGCTTTTTGACTTTTTAATAATTGCCTTTCTGACAGGCATGGGATGATATCTCATTGTGGTTTTGATTTACATTTCTCTAATCATTAAAGTTGAGCTTTTAAAAATATATTTGCGCCGGGCACGGTGGCTCAAGCCTATAATCCCAGCACTTTGGGAGGCCGAGGCGGGTGGATCATGAGGTCAAGAGATCGAGACCATCCTGGTCAACATGGTGAAACCCCGTCTCTACTAAAAAGACAAAACATTAGCTGGGCATGGTGGCGCATGCCTGTAATCCCAGCTACTCAGGAGGTTGAGGCAGGAGAATTGCCTGAACCCAGGAGGCGGAGGTTGCAGTGAGCCGAGATCGCGCCATTGCACTCCAGCCTGGGTAACAAGAGTGAGACTCCGTCTCAAAAAAAAAAAAAAATATATATATATATATATATATTTGTTGGCTGCATGTATATTTTCTTTTGAGAAGTTTCTGTTCACATCCTTTGCCCATTTTTTAATGCGGTTGTTTTTTTCTTGTAAATTTGTTTAAGTTCCTTGTAGATGATGGATATTATACCTTTGTCAGATGGATAGATGGTAAAATTTTTCTCCCATTCTTTAGGTTGTCTGTTCACTCTGATGATAGTTTCTTTTGCAGTGCAGAAGCTGTTTAATTAGATCCCATTTGTCAATTTTTGCTTTTGTTGCAATTGCTTTTGGCATTTTCATCATGAAATCTTTGCCTGTGTCTATGTCCTGAATGGTATTGCCTAGATTTTCTAGGGTTTTTATAGTTTTTAGTTTTACATTTAGGTCTCTAATCCATCTTAAGTTAATTTTTGTGGAAGGTGGAAGGAAGGGGTCCACTTTCAATTTTCTGCATATAGCTAGCCAGTTTTCCCAGCACTATTTATTAAATAGGGAATCCTTTCCCTATTGCTTGCTTTTGTCAGGTTTGTTGAAGATCAGACAGTTGTAGGCATGCAATCTTATTTCTGAGTTCTCTAATCTGTTCCATTGGTCTATGTCTATGTCTCTGTTCTTATACTACTACCATGCTGTTTTGGTTACAGTAGCCTTGCAGTGTAGTTGAAGTTGGATAGTGTGATGCCTCCAGCTTTGTTTTTTTTGCTTAGGATTGTCTTGGCTATTTGGGCTCTGTTTTGGTTCCATACAAATTTTAAAATAGTTTCTTTTAAGTCTGTGAAGAATGTCAATTGTAGCTTAATGGGAATAGCATTGAATCTTTAAATCACTTTGGGCAGTATGGGCATTTTCATGATATTGATTCTGTCTATCCATGAGCATGGAATGTTTTTCCATTTGTTTGTGCCCTCTAATTTATTTGAGCAGTAGTTTGTGGTTCTCCTTGAAGAAGTCCTTCACTTCCCTTGTTAGCTGTATTCCTAGGTATTTTATTCTTTTTATAGCAATTGTGAATGGGAGTTCATTCGTGATTTGGCTCTATGCTTGCCTGTTGTTGGTGTATAGGAATGCTAGCTATTTTCGCACAGTGATTTTGTATCCTGAGACTTTACTGAAGTTGCTTACCAGCTTAAGAAGCTTTTTGGCTGAGATGACTGGGTTTTCTAGACATAGGATCATGTCATCTGCAAACAAAGATAATTTGAAGATAACTTCCTCTCTTCCTATTTGAATATCCTTTACTTCTTTCTCTTGCCTAGTTGCCCTGGCCATAACTTCCAATATTATGTTGAATAGGAGTGGTGAGAGAGGGCATCCTTGTCTTGTGCCAGTTTTCAAGGGGAATGCTTCCAGCTTTGCCTGTTCAGTAGTTCTGTTTACGTGATGAACCACATTTATTGATTTGTGTATGTTGAACCAACCTTGCATCCTAAGGATCAAGCCGACTTGATCGTGTACGATAAGTTTTTTGACGTGCTGCTAGATGCAGTTGGCCAGTATTTTATTGAGGATTTTTGCACTGATGTTCATCAGGGATATTGGCCTGAAGTTTCCTTGTTTTTGTTGTATCTCTACCATGTTTTGGTATCAGGATGATGCTGGTCTCTTAAAATGAGTTAGGAAGGGGACTCTTCTATTTTTTTCTAATAGTTTCAGTGGAAATGGTACCAACTCTTCTTTGTACCTCTGGGAGAATTCAGCTGTGACTCTGTCCGGTTCTGAGCTTTTTTGTTTTATTATCTCAATTTCAGAACTCATTACCAGTCAATTCAGGGATTTGATTTCTTCCTGGTTCAGTCTTGGGAGGGTGTGTGTGTCTAGAAATTTATCCATTTCTTCTAGATTTTCCACTTTATGTGCACAGAGGTATTTATAGTATTCTCTGATGGTTGTTTGTGTTTCTGTGGGGTCAGTGGTGATATCTCCCTTATCATTTCTGACTGTTTTTATTTGATTCTTCTCTCTTTTCCTCTTTATTAGTCTAGCTAGTGGTCTCTTTTATTGATTTTTTTCAAAAACACAGCTCCTGAATTTTTTGATTTTTTTTTTCAGGATTTTTCATGTCTCCATCTGATTCAGTTCCACTCTGATCTTGGATATTCCTTGTCTTTTACTAG